AGAATGAAGTTGATGTTATGCTGAATGTTCTTACAAGGAAATTAGATAGTGATTTATAATACAATGGCTAAAAAAGCAAAAGAAGAAAAAGTTTCATGGTGCTTTTATGATACTTCAGTTATTGCAGGAGCTTTGCAGTATAAATCATCATCCTCTTTCCTTGTATGAACAATAGAAGCTCTTGCTTTTGGCTTGACAGCTTTTTTTCAGCTTCACGGAAGAAAAGAAAATGATACAAGTTTAAAAAGAAGGCAAGTAAATTTGTCTTGTCGTCGATCCTAGTTGTAAGAGCAACAAATAATAACTTGACTTCTAGTTGATCATTTGGAAAAGTGGCAGAAGGTCGATTTTTCTGATGAATCATCTGTTGAACTGCATCCCAATCATCACAAATACTGCAGAAGTTTGGTGAGGGAAAGATCATAGTTTGCTATTACATTCAGTATGGGGGCGTGCGAGAGATCTGCAGAAGGGATGACAACATCAACAGCCTGAGGTATCAAGACATTACACCCATTACAATACAAACCACAGGAGAGAGCAAATTCTCCAGCAGGATAGCGCTCTTTCTCATTCTTCAGCCTCCACATCAAAGATCCTGAAAGCAAAGAACATCAAGGTGCTCCAGGATTGGCCAGCCCAGTCACCAGACATGAACATTATTGAGCATGTCTGGGGTAAGATGAAGGAGGGGGCATTGAAGATGAATCCAAATAATCTTGATAAACTCTGGGAGTCCTGCAGGAGCGCTTTCTTTGTCATTCCAGATGACTTTATTAATCAGTGATTTGAGTCATTGCAGAGATGTATGGATGCAGTCCTCCAAGCTCATGTGAGTCAGACACAATATTCATTCTGTTTCCACTGCAGCATGACTTTATATTCTTTACTCTACATTATTTCTGTAAAGTGACAAGACTTTTGTCTAAGCAAGTCAGACCTTACTGTCCTAATTAAATCATTAAATATCAAGGCATGATCATATTTTATTGTGGTAAAATAAGCGTAATCCAGAGGCCTTTGCTTTTAATATGAGCCACTTCTGATACCAAATGATCAGCTAGAAGTCAAGTTATTATTTGTTGTTCCTAAAACTTGGATAGGTAACAAGATTATATATACTTTACTATTTAAAAGTCTCATGTTATTTTGAAGGAGCTCTTATATGCTCATATAGGCTGCATTTGTTTGACTAAAAATACAGCAATAAAAATAGAAAATGGTTTTTAAAACCAATTAATTCATTAACTAATTATATTTTAATTTGTTCATATTTTAAGATACTGTCATATAGAAAACACTATTTTCATTTATTAGATATAATTTATTTCTGTGTGGCTCCAGCCTTCAATGTCAATGTTGAAAATAGCTAAATAATATTTTTGTGAGGACTATGACTCATTTGTGACATAATAGACCACACTGCACACAGTTTTTTAATTATTATTATTTAATTATTTTTTTCTTTAAAACTACTGTATACTGTTTATTTTCTACTCATTTCTGTGTATACAACTCATTCTGAAAAAATCTATAAAAAAATGTAAATAGTTAATTAGTTTTGTTTGTCGCATATAGTTTCCTATTTTGTGATGTGGATAAACAGTGTGTTTCAATCTGGCTACCACCGCAACCAGGGCTTGACATTCACTTTTTTGATCACCAGCCACTGTGGCTAGTAGTTTTCCACCGTTAATAGCCACTCGCCATTTTCAATAGCCACATTTTTTTTTGCTGGGAAAATATATTTTATATGCAAAAATTTGACTTTGGCATGGGTTGCGGAATGCTAAAATTTTTTTTTCATTTGCCACTTGCCTCATTTAACTGTTGTTTATGAGCTTACTCAATAAGCATGAGCAAATGCGTTATGCTTTCATAAAAAAGTGCCACACCAAACTAATTATTTCCTTGCCACAAATTATAAATAATGTGTCTAAACAAGCAAAACACTGCTGTGTACATGCACTTTTATTCAAAAAAACATTTAAAAAAATATATATATATATTTATTCTTACGCAGCTAAAACTATGCACAGTGGTCTGTTCTGGCAAAATATCCCAGATCACCAGTTAACTATGCATACAACAACATATTAAAGCAATATAATTGCAAAGGATGATTATTACACGATATTAACAAACATAACAGCAAGCAAAAGAAAGCGGGTAAAAAACATTCTGTGCGTGATAATGAAAGGATGATGCCGCGCACATGGTTATTATTAGGCCAATTAATAATCTGTTCAAAAGAATGATTAAAGTGAAAGCGGCAAAAATTGCTGCTGCTTACAAAGAATCTCGAGCCCTTGAAGGACTGTGGGTGCACGAGCATCGCACTAGTTTCATTTCCAGACATGGTTGCTTCGAGTGAGGAAACGGCACAGGAGCTTTTAAACACTTGCGCACACCAAATCATCTGTGCTCGCGACCCTAAAGCCCTCGTCAGTAAGTGTGGAAAGTGTAATGACTATCTGTGTCCACCAGATGCCACTATAGTTCTCCAGCATCTCCCAGCGAACTACAGTGATGAAACTACAAGTCCATACATTACATGTGCAATACACCCGGTGGCCATTCACAGCTGTTCCCGTTTCCTGTTGATTTCCTGGTATATTTATAAACCCATTCACCCATTCTTCGTTACTGCGTCGTTTGTCTTTCTTGTCGTCATTGCCTTAGTAAGTCTTGTGATAGTAAGTTTGTTGTTCCTGTTCTTGATCCTGATTCCTGCCGTAGTTTCTTGTTTTGTTTGTTTAATTGTTACCTTGTTATTTTAAACTTTGGACACCTTGTTTTTCTGTTTACTGCACGATCTCTTTATTAAACTGCAATTGGATCCTACACCTTTTTGTTCCCGTTCCTTCATCAAATCGTGACAGAAAGCCTGTCTTATTGTGCGTGTGATCCTCTTTTTCTTTTGCCCACGCGAAAAGCTGTTTTTGTCAGTCGTGCTGCTTCTCGAATCTAGGATCACATTTGTACACATATAGACAAGCGGTCATAAACTAATAGTCTATTCTAGTGACGACGAGCCCGCACTGGCGAATTAAAAATGAGTTTCAGGAAGCCAAGCTAGTGGAGTGGCTGTCTAACCTGCCACAACCGAAATCTACCCGCATTTGGCGGGTTGGCGGGTGTTAATGTAAAGCCCTGACTCCAAGTGAAGTTTTATAAACTAATTTCGAGAGGAGCACGTGATAAGATTGAGCACGACTGGCCGCTCATCTGTAATCAGTAATAATCCAATCAGAGTGATCCTAGTTTACTATAAATGGATCATTTTCTCTGTACTGCTCTATCTTTGTTTTGGAAGAATCCCACCTTTCACTCCATCTCCTCCTTTTCTTCCCTTTTCTAAAGGGGGAGCTCTCGAGACCTACCTGATCTCGGATCTCCTGATATGCTTACTGACCGGGCGGGAGCCCCGAGCTCAAATATCTCTGAGCTCAGGGTTCTCTTCCAGGACAGCATGCCAAACCTGCTATAAATGCTAAGCATATCTAAGTGGGAACTCTTGAAGTATATATATTTTTAACCTGTGGGAAGCACTGAACATTAATACCAAAATGATCAGTTACATCAGTAGCCCCTTTCACACATACAGACCTTTCCAGAAAAGGTTGTATGTGTGAACAGGTCCTTTTTGAAAATACCCAAATTCGTTCTGGCTATTTTCCGGAAAGAGAAGTTGTAACATTACCGGCAATTTGCCGGAATGCTGCGCTGTGTGAATGCAGAAGGAAGATTGCCGTAATAAGCGCGTGCACGTCTAGAATGTGCTGACGTAAGACGTCTGCTTTAGCCAATCACAACAGTTTATGAGAATAAAAGCCTTTGAATATTTTTCCAGACACATTTAGCTGCTAGAAGTTAGTCAGATCACGTTTATATGTTCTTCTTAATGCCAACTGTGTAAATAATCATCGATGAGATGCTTATGATAAGCCGTTGTTTGTTTACCTTCAAGCTTTGCGTGTGCCTGTAAAACAGCCTGTGAGCGCCTGCACATGTTATGAACATCTCGTCATGCGAAAGTGATCCAGCGAAAGTTGTTCACAATATTGATCATCCACAGAGTTTGTAATTTAGTCAAATGTTTACAAACACAAGCACAGCCGTTTAAAGCTCATTTGTGGTGAATGATGTCAGAATTTACCGGTATTTTGGAATGGATGTGAGAATGCTTTTTTCCGGAAAATTTCCGTAACATCCTCGCCTGTGTGAACAGCGCTTTTTTGAATATACCGGTAAAGTCGTTCCGGAAATTTTCCAGATATTTACCGGTATCACTGTGTGAAAGGGGCTATTGTTTCCCTCTGGTTACAATTAGTGCTTCTTGAATTGCAGTAAAGGTCATACATATTTTTTGTTCCTGTCAGTCATGTAAAGCTAAACTGTACTCAAGATTGATAGCCATGATGGTCTGTTTTACTTCATCAATCTACTGTAAGTCAGAATCTGTCATCCTCGAATCCAAAAATGAGAATTTGCAGACTGTGATATTGAATTAGCGTCCATATGATTGTAACATTGCAAAATCACAAGACTTTCGATTTGGTCCCTGACAGCAGGAATCATACAGTGTGGCTTCATATAAAGCAGATCTGCTGAGAACCGCTGGCGATGTCTTTAGTTTTGTCCTGAATGGTTCCCTGTGGTTGGAAATACATGCATATATTCCCTAACTCAGCAGTGGAAAGGACGATGATGGCCTGTAGCTGGAACAGCTGGAGAACGATGGGACATTCGCTATTAAAGCAGTTCTGGGAGACACACGGTGACCTTGAAGTCATCCGGACTGGATCCAGTGCATAACAGATGACCCGGGAGAAGGAGTATAATCAATTCGGAAAAGTTTTAACATGATTCAGAATGAAAGAATATAGTCTAAAGGTGTGTTTAATACAATGATTCAAGTGTTAATGAGTGTTAATTCCATAAACACAACCAGATAGAGAACACAAACACACAAACACACATCAAACCATGCATCTTACATGAGAAACACTTGAGAACAGCTCTGGGTTTTGACATCACGCATGTGGAAACCTTCTTACAAAGGCTATGAGGGACTGAGAGACACAAAACCAACATGATCAATGGAGGAGGAGGATGCTCGCTGTGCTTTCCATCCTTCTCTACTTTATCAAGCCCTCCAAACTAAAGACAGCTAGACAGAAAGTGTGGCGGTGGTCCGACAGAGAGACTCGTGTATGATTGAGTCTAGGAGAGCCGTTTGATGACGTACCGCAGCCAGACTGAACATTTGTAATCATGTCAGATGAACACAGATGATTCTGGGATTGTTTTCTGACTCACCCATTCCTTTGGAGTGGTTGAAGTCTCCTTTGACGATCCTGCAGGATTTGCCGTCACCGTTGCAGACGCCGCATCTGTCTTCTTTCGCAGATGATCCGATGATGCCGTCACAGCCGATTTTCTGCAGAGTAAGAACATGGAAAAAACTCACGAGTTAACACACTAAGCACAATAACTATATACAACCCCAGCAGGCACACAACATCATAAGACGTTAGATCAGGTTAGATTTAGGTCGTGATGTCAGGTGACCAAAATTCAATGTCTAGTCGGTGTCTAAGGACAATTTTATTTTGACATCCAATAAAGACGTCTAATTATGTTGATGTTTGGTTGATTTTAGGTTGTGCTGGAAAGTGACCAAAATCCAACGTCTGATAGATGTCATAGTGATAACGTTCAAACAACGTCAAGGTAATGATTATACGTTGATATTTGGTTGATTTTAGGTTGGACGTTGGACATTGATCTCAACTCGATTTTACTTTCTAAACATAATCGAACGTCCCCACGACTTTGGGGTACAACGTCAATATGACGTCATGTTGACATGCTGTGCCTGAAGGGACGGCTATATTTATTTATTACTTTATTTTTGTCAGAAAAACACACAAGTTTACATAATGCTGGTTATGTCTGTAAATAACATTTCGATCAAAGACCTAAACCCTAACTCAAACCCCAACTCATTTCAATGTTATCTAAGACAGTGGTCCCTAACCTTTTTATCACAGTGGAATGGTCAACGCTCGACAATTTTACTGCGGACCTGGGGGGGGTAGGTGGTTCGTAGATTGCTAGGCAACCATCAGCCTTTTCCTCTTACCAAAGACGTCTGTTTCTTGCTCATTTTGCTGCTTGTTTGTTGAATTTGATTGTTCAGACTATAATAAATAAAACGGAAATAATTAATAATTTCTCATGTGGCCCGGTACCAACTAATCCACAGACCTGTACCGGGGCCCATTGCCTGGTGGTTGAAGACCACTGCTCTAAAAAATGAAAAGTAACATTGTTCAAATCTTCTTTGTGTATTATAAAGGTCTAAGCACATGTTCGGCGCATCTGCACTTAGGCCTTGTCTCAATTCACTTTTGCTGTTTTAAGGATGGGAAAACAGTTGCCACAACAGGCTCATGGTGTAAAAGGGTTGTCATTACTCTCTTAATTAGTTATGGTTGTTTTGTTTGTTTATGTGTCAACTCGATTTTCCTTTCTAAACAAGACCCAACGTCCCCACAATGTAGGGGGAAAACGTCAATATGATGTCATGACGTCATGCTGTGCCTGAAGGGACGCTTATATTTATTTTTGCTTAATTTTTGTCAGAAAAACACGCAAGTTTGCATAATGCTGGTTATGTCTGTAAATAACATTTCGGTCAAGGACCTAACCCAACCAATCAGAGTCTCACCCCTAATTGTGTTTAAGAGTGAATTGTCTTATCAAGTTCGCTATTTACTGTACATGGTGGACTTTGAAAGAAGAAGAGGTTTTGAATGCTTCGCAAGCAAGGAAAATGATCAGCTTGTGTATGAGGTAAATAAAAAAAACATCTACAAGATAATGAGAGAAGGTAGCGGTATTATATATATATAATATATATTATATATTATATAATATATTTATTATATATAAATATATATATATATATATATATATATATATATATATATATATATATATATATAA